TGGGCAGGGTTATATGGGCAGGGTTGTATGGGCAGGGTTATATGGGCAATGCTATATGGGCAGGGTTATATGGGCAATGCTATATGGGCAGGGTTATATGGGCAATGCTATATGGGCAGGGTTATATGCAAGGTTTTGACCACTAAGTTCAACTTGTATCACTCGCATTGATTATTTTGAAATAATTTTCTTTGGTCAAAGGTTGAATAGTTTGATTATAGTGCATTCCAAACAAAACACGGTTTTGTTTGGAATAACACAATAAATTTTATATAAATATTGCCTGGTGGAAGTGCGTACAAAAATGACCATGGATTCAGCCTTTCCACGACTTTTGCTTAGGTGAAAAGGCTGATACATTTACCATGAATCACGATGTAGTGTAATACGGGACCAGCTGCGGTGATATTTTCACAAATTATTTTCGCTAAAAGGTGAAATGCAGGAGTGAGACCCATGGCTCCTGTGTTTTGTACAGTACAGCACGTGAAACTCATGCCAGTGTTGCAAATGATTATCACACGATCGTGGGCTGTAAGTTATTTTTATTCTTTGCTAGGTGTCTGTATGTAAAGTCAAAGTGTGGTGCATAATAGTAATACCAGATTGAGTTATCTCACTGTATATGTATCTAGCCTGCGTGACTTCATATTGTTGAAATGGAAAATAGCTTTCTCTAGTATCACCAGTTATTACACCACTCGTATTAATAATCGTATATGCAAAAGATATTTGTGTGTGTAATAGTGAAATGCAGGATCTCATAAAACAGAAAATTATGGGAATGGTTAAGGTGCGGAATGGGTTGGAATAAAACTATTAAGGCTTTGAAATGGGTGGAAATAAAGTCAAGGGTGGAAAATGAGGGTAATAAACAGGCTGGAATAAAACGAGGGCTGGAGAAAGGCACGCAATATAAGCCAGCATTGGAGTGCCCTCCAAGGAACAGGTGAGACATCTGATACCCGCCGCGCCACAAACAGGACGTAACAGCGAAACTGGACTTGACCCAGGTCATTAATAAATCACTTATAAAGACAGACTGAAGGCGCTGAATCTCTCCAGCCTCCATAAACAGATGTTGGAAGGATCTGAGGCAATATTTCATTTCCTACAGGGTATTAATACAGCAAATCCCAGACATAGTTTCCCTATAAATTCTTCCAACAGATGCAGGGGAGTAAGTTGCCCTGTTGTCATTCGTGATCGCACACTAAGGCCAAAACACGCCATTAGCCCCCCCAAGAACAGCTAATATGTGCCCTACACTACAAATATAAAATATAAAATGAACACCATTTTTTGACTGTACTAGGACCGATGTCTGTTAGCTTGTTTAGCAGAAATTTGAATTTGAAATACAGTTTAACTGTGTGAATGACCAGTCTGAATTAGGCCAACAAGTACATCCTGTTCCAAGGATGTGGATCTGCAAGACCATCCAAAAGGAAACCAAAGTATTAATCCCCTAAGTCAGCATGAGAGAGACAAGGGAAAAACGAATTGCAAATGTATGTTATAAAGATCATTGTTAAAAATATTTCATTCGGTGGATCAAGGACAAATATACGAAGACTAATTTATTTATACTATGTGTATATGTGCAATTATTTTACCAATATTGTATCTTCACTATAAAGACATACAGTATCCATCATGTTGGGATAATGTACTTATACAGATATACACATCATCATTAATAAATAGTCAATCTGTGATATATAAAGGTTTTAAAAACATTTCTTTTTTGTTTTGGCTGTGCTGTGCTCCAGCCCGCCTCGCCTGTGGGACCCGGCTACCCCCCCCCCAGCTGGCAGCCCTCCCAAACTGGGGCCTGGCCCATCTGCCTCTGTGACTGCACTGTCTGCCCTCTGCTGGCTGCTTTATTCACTGCATACAATACCGACAAATCCCCTTCAGCAGAGGGGAAACACAGTGCACTTGCATCCTCACGCGGCAGCCTAAATGATCAGGCTACTCTCTGACTGGATAAAGATCTTTCAATGAACGAAGAAAATAAAGGCTCCTCTATGACAGTGTTTCTCAACCCGGGAAGGAGCAAAAACATGCACAGGGGAGCGGAATGAGAAACACCGCTCTATGATTCACATGCTGAGCAAACAAATTCGCTGTGCCGCACAGAAAAGCCTGCGGTTTAAACTGTATCCAGTGGCCTGGCAGAAACACAGAGACCCTGAACAGCACCTCATGCACCAGCAAAGAGGGAGTAAGGAATGGGAACGGCAGTACAGGACAGGCCCACCGTGCACTGCGCCAGTGTCCGGGCAGGGCCAGGCTGCTGGCCATCAGCAGGGACTGGCACTGGGTCACATTCACGCTTCTGCAAGTTTCTGCCCCACATGAGACAGATCAGGCTGGTCATGAAGTCTGAGATAAACAGGCAGCAGCAGATTCACAGCAGTTACTGGATCGTATGTGTCACATGCAGAAGCGTTTAAACCATGAAGAAAACTGTATGTTTTAAACCATAAAGAAAACTGTATGTTCATTTATTTTACGTAATAACAGGGGGGAGGAAATAATTTAATCATTTCAACATTTTAACCAGCAGTGTCTTTCAAGCAGTCAAGGAATAATGGAATAACATTTCTGTGAACAGTAACATAAAAAAATATCGATATATCTTTAGACCAGTGTAGGGCTTGTCTTCAAAACCCTGCGCAGTCCCACCCGTGTCCAAAAGTTTCTTGGAAAAAAATAAACAATATAGTGCAAGTTTCGAAATTTGGCAGCTGAATAGCAATTAACATCACGCTCACATACATTTATGGATGTGACAAGTTAATGTTACACAGCAGTGTGATCATCTACCGTAGATACCCCAGGATAGACGGCATGTTAGGATGTAATGATGGATAGTGAGAGATGAACATGTTAACATTACATTGTAACCTGCTTGGTCAATATTCAAGGTGCAGGATTTGATATGTATACAAACTTAAGGTAATTTGTTTGTAAGAGCATTTAATGAAGATGCTGTGCATGGTATGATAGATTAAATAAACCACACCACGTGAACTGAGGTGTTGTGTTTAGGAGGAAGACATGTTTACATTATGTTCAAATAAAAATATGACATTGATTTCATCAGTGTAATACTACAATAGCCACAAAGCCTCTGAAAAGATGCAGTGTGATCAAATGATCGAATGAATGTAACTGGACTGATTGTTATGCGTTTTCATGCTGAATCTCTCTTACACACACTCTCACAGTCACTCACTCACACGCACACACTCTCCTTTCAGGCCGTAAACCACACAGCCCAGTATAGTACCAGGAATTATGATGGTACTCTTCATGGACTTTCAAACCCCGGCAGAATCTGATAAGGCCACCTGTGTCTCACTGTAGCCATGTCACCCTGGATATTTGGACACTGCTTCCCCAAGTGCTCACTGAATCAGCACCCTCCCAGGGTCAACTGTCCCAGTGCTCACTGAATCAGCACCCTCCCAGGGTCAACTGTCCCAGTGCTCACTGGATTAGCGCCCTCCCACAGCTCACTGGATCAGCACCCTCCCAGGTCTGCTCCCCAGTGCTCACTGTATCAGCGCCCCCCCCCCACCCACAAGACCCCCGATGCAGAGGGCCACCCTGCTGCACTCACATTGCCCCCCAGTGCTGAGCCCCCCTAACACTCACATTGGCCCCCAGCCCTGAGGGCTGCTGAACATGAAAGGTGCTCACCAATAGGATTCATTGCTCGGCTTTTCTCATGCAGTGCAGGCCAGGGATTCTCCAGTGGGGGGCACTACTGACACGCAGGGCCAGCCACTCCTGCTGCGAGGCAGCCAGGTAGGACTGGGATGGGGAGGTGGGCGGCAGGTGGGGCACCAGCGAGCCCAGAGCCTCCGTCAGGGCCTGGCTCCGCGCCGCCTGGATGTCCATGCTCTCCAGGCTGCTGAGGCTCCCAGCAGCTGCGTCAAAAGGGTGACTCCGGTTTGGGCCTGAGGGGGCGCCAGGCAGCAGAGCCTTTAACACCGAGGTTTAGTCACCTACCTATTGACCTTTGCTGACCTCATTTTATTTGATTTCATTTTGCATGAAAAGTACCTAGACTGAATATCAGTGTTAAACTAACAGAGAGAGAAGATTTAATTAGCAATTTAACTGAGAGGCTGCTTGTGATAAAGCAGTTGGATAAAGTGGATGGACAGATGGACGGATGATTTTATCGCGCAGCTTGACTGACACATGGTCACTGCACATGCAGTCTGCCTTAATGACCAGGGTCTGGTCAGGTGCTCCATCCTAGAAGATCTGGGGGGGGGGGTTACTCACAGCAGAGGCGGAAGGACTCCCAGGCGCGCCGAGGAAGGTACGGCTTGGTCACGGGCTGCTGCAGCAGACACACGATGGCACTGTCCGCCTGGTGGAAGACGCGCAGGGACAGCAGCCGCTGGCACGTGTCCTCCGACAGGCTGTACTCCTCTGAGCGCACCAGGCTGCGGACCAGGTCGAAGTCCTGCTTCAGCTGCAGCGCCCCCTGGAGGCTGCAGGAGGGAAGGGCAGCCATACAGCCAATACTAGATCTTTATTAAAACTAAAACAGGCATATAGATTTCACATATATGGTTGGGTTTATGCTACATATACATTCACTGACAGGAATTTCCAAAAAAATAAAAACGATGCATACAGGATTTGCTAACATTTGGTTAACATGATGCTTCTCAGTTACCAGATTCGTCAATTTTATTTAATAAATAGATTATTGGACTGGCATCCCTTATAATTATCATTATTATTATTATTATTCATCTCTGAGAGGGAGCGAGCTGCAGAAAGTGGTGTGAATTCAGGGCCTCCAGCAGCCATCCCACCTGAATCTGATCTTCTGCCTGAGAATGTGCTCCATCCAGGCCTCCATGAATGCGACCGTGGCCTCGGCGAGCGCAGGGTCGCCAAGCCCCTCCGGCAGGGGCCGTGTGCCCTCCAGCACCTGGCCAATCACAGCACGGGCCGCCGAGGCCGCGTACTCGCTGGGACTGGCTGGCAGATCTGACCAATGGAACAGGTGCCAGGTCTGAGCTCTCTCACACAGACACTCACCCCACCCAGCTCACGGGCACCATTGCCCACACGCTGCCAACACCCCCCTCAGTCTCACTACACCCACCTTCTTAATAAAATACAGTCATGCGCTGCAAAGCAACAACATTGTGGTCAATGATAGACCACATACAAGATGGTGGTCCCATAAGATCATATCGGAGCTGAAAAATGTCTATTACCTAGTGACACTGTAGCCGTCTTAATGTCAATGCCATCGCGGCGTCACAGCCATAGCGCATCGCATTACTCACATGTCCGTGGTGATGTTGGTGAAAACAAACCTACTGTGCTGCCAGTCACATACAAATATAGCACATACCATTATGTACAATGCAAAACACTTGATGATGATAACTATGCTACTGGTTTATGTATTTACTATACTGTGCTTTGCCATGTAGCCTAGGTGTTCAGTGTGCTAGACAAGTTAGTGTAAGTAGTCTATGACGTTTGCACAATGACGAAAATTGCCTAACGATGCATTTCTGTATGCTAAAAATTAAAATGCAACACAAGTGGTAACAGAATGCCCTATTCCCTTCATTTACTGACAAGAACTAAGAGCTCTTACACTACAGTTAGGTCTGAGCACAAAGAAAAATATATTCTTTTGCAAATATATTCTATGCATAGTTTTAAAAGGAGGGACACAAGAAGATTCTGGAATGCTGTGGGTTGACCACAGTGTGCACTGTTTGCTCACCAGTGTGACCTCACCTGTTTTATACCTCGCTCTCCAGTGCCTTACTGATGGCATGCTCTGCTCAAATATTTCTCTGGACATCTGCTTGCAGGCCTGAGAGAACATCTTCAGGAGAAGCGGGGAGAAGCCCTGCCAGTGCAAAAACACAGTGTCTTACAGCCAAATGAGTCTAATTCCAGGAAGTAATACATATATCAGTGTGCTAACTATTTAGTAGACATTTCTGTCTAAAGCGATTAGAGCCTGGGGACAGAGAGCAGTGTGAACCAGCATCCCTGGAACAGCTTTTAAGGCTTCGGGATTCGAACCTATAACCCTACAGGACATGGGCACTGGTCCCAAATCCACCGAGCTTGGCACTGCCCCTTAGTGGTCCCCTTAGAACACTATCTGAAATCTTGCAAATGTAACAAGGAGCTACAGCCGGACAGGATCTGAACCCCTAACACAGCATGCAGATATAAACACCTCGATGAGGCTCTTAAATGGGGGAGTGGGGACCACATGTGAAGACTGAGCATGTTCGAGAATCACCTCACCTGCAAAGCAGCAGCTGCTTGACTGAGCAAGACCACCTGCTGATCAGCAGGAAGAGCGCCACCTCCTGGCTGTGCAGGGAGCTCCTCCACCTGCTGCACCAGGCGCTCCACGGCTGCCCTTAGTGCCTGCAGCATGAGGGTAGAGGGTCACGTTGTTTGGGGAACCTGCCCTTACTTCCCCCAGCGCACGCTCATATCACGGCATAGCCAACACCACGAAAGACTACAGCGTGCTCAATATACACATACTATATAGCTCCTGGTTCTTATCAGTGAAAAACATTAGAACATCCCACATGCACATACATCCATCTACTGATCGCATACCCTGGTCACGGTCACATGGGGGCCCAGAGCCTATCCCAGACAGGATTTGAACCCCCAACCCTGGACAATGGCGGCTGTGCATGTGCACTACCACAGAAGGGCAATGAAGACAAAGCGCTCTGGTCACCTTGAGGTCTCCCTGGGTCACCAGCAGGAATTTGTTGATGGACCAAGAGGACAGAAACTGGTAGCCTTTGCTCACGGCCCAGAATGTGGCTGAGTGGACGGTGGTGACGGACCGGTGGAGGGTCCCCAGGCGGAGCAACCGCAGGTTCCTGGGATCTGCCAAGACACACCAGCAGCTGGTGACCCTTCTGCCAAATCCTCCCCGCTTCCTCTCCATTCCCAACCTGGTTCTCTCCACTTCCTCTCCATTCCCAACCTGGTTCTCTCCACTTCCTCTCCATTCCCAACCTGGTTCTCTCCACTTCCTCTCCATTCCCAACCTGGTTCTCAGGAACCCCCAGACATTCCAGATTTTTTCTCCCTCCCAGCTCCCTGCCAGACAATTTTGCTCCTACTGAGAGCTGGGAGGGACCAAAACTGTCTGGGGGTCCCAGATGACCGAGTTGAGAAACACTAGAATACGCGTAGACATCTCCTTCGACGTAAAAAGCTTGACAAACTAACAACATATTGTGAAAGTTACTGACTCAGTCAGAGTGAGTCACAGACACTTTGTTAAGGTGCTATTAACCTACAAACTTCCTGTCACTTTAAATTCAGGAATTCACCTCAAACCCCCTTCGTCTTAAATGACGGTACATCACAGCTGGTGTGGTTTTACTTTCCCACTGAGGTCTGTGTCACAGCCTAAGATTCCTTTAAGAACTCGTCTTTTAAAATAACACTGGTGCTTCGCAGAAACATCCGATGGGGGCAGCAGGCAGGCCGGCGGTGACTTGAAAGGGCCGCTGGTCCCTAAGCCGCTTCAGAGGAAACATTACGCCCGACGTGCTGGAACATTTCTGAGGTTTGCCAAGCGGGGGGGGGGGGGGCGTA